TCTTAGAACAAAGCAAAAGGCTTTATTTTCTTGAAACGTTTTATACAAGTCTTTGTGTTCGAAGCTGTGTGTTTTTTGGTTCTAAGTGTAGCTAATCTCTACATCGTGGATAGCTTCCTTTGATATTCACCATGATTGCCCTAAATTGGAAACTATTGGAGAGTTGATTAAACAGAAATCTGGCGATTGTGCTCTTTCCAATCCCAGGAGGACCCCAAATCCAAATCATCCTCACTTCATCCAAATCAAGCCGTAGAAATGGTTCGATCCTTTCCATATGAGCTACCATCCCAATTAAACGGTCAAGATCAGGTGATGGTGCCGAATGATTCAGCATTTTCGAAATCTCGGCGGCTATGTTTTCGACCATGGAAGCTTCATTAACCCTAACAAAGAGGGAGATAAATTTATACACCGTTTTATAAATAATCACTAAGAATTTACGTACACATTCAAAATTTATGGCTTTTTCTTGGCTGCATATAGTTCAAATGCTACAAAGATATATATAGTTTGATGTATAAAAAGCAAGAGAACGAACCAGTTTCTTGAATGGTAACCGGCGATTGTGGCCACACCCTCAAAAGCTTTTCTCCATGTCTGGATCTTCTTCTTGGTTTTACCTTGACAAGTTTTTTTGAAGACCTTTCCAAAATCTCCGGTCTGCTTCTTTACATCAGTTGGATCCACTTCATATAAAATGGTCAACACCGTTTGACCAACTACTTTGCTCATGATCTCCACCAAATCATCAAGACACCACGAGGAAGAAGCGTAGTTCTTTGAGAGCAAGACGACGGCAATCTTAGATTCTTGGATCGCCCGTTTGAGTTCAGGAGCAATAGATTCTCCTCTCTTGATGTTGTTATCAATGAATGGCGTGATTCCTTTTCTTTCAAACTCCTTCTAAATGTGACTGAGAAATCCTTTGCGTACATCTGGACCATGGAAGCTCGGAAAGACATCGTGTTCCCAGCTGCGAGGCGGAGAAGATAAAGGAAGTGAAAGAGGTAAAGAAGAAGAAGCCATTATTGGACTTAGACAAAGAAGAGGTGGAGGAGAAGCAATTATTTTGTTTTCTTGGACTTTGATCTTTCCATAAACCATATAAAATATTGTACCCAAAACCGTAAAGATTGTAGCGGCAACAGCTCCAAGGGAAAGGTTAAAATCCATTGCTACGATCGAGAGAGAAGATTTCATATCACTGAGCTTTTTAGAGATAGAGAGTAAGGATTACCAAAGAGACTTTGTATATCTAGTGACATAGAATATTTCCATTGACTGAGAATGTTCACACTAGCAAGAGAGAGATAAAGTTATCTTTTCATGGAAATATGTGAGCCACAGCTCTAGCCTCATGTACGTTCCACCATTCTTTCTCTGAACC